CCTTACATGAACGAATGGATCGGATGGAGTTATCACAAACACCATCCAAGCGACGACGAGACGAAAACAAATTTAGAGAATCCGAAGACTCCAATGATGAAGGGTCCAAACAAAGGTTGAAACTGAAGCGATGAGTGACGAATTGAGAAGGTGATCCTCTTAAAGGGATCAAAATGAAGATTCCATTATTACAAGGGAGATCTGATCCCGAGACATATCTCGAGTGGGAACGAAAGGTGGAGATAATTATTGAGTGCCACAACTATACTAAGGAGCAGAAGACCAAACTCGCAGTAATCGAATTTACCGATTATGCGATCGTTTGGTAGGATCAGTTGTGCACTAGTAGAAGGCGAAGTGGAGAACCTGCTATCAATACTTGGACCAAACTAAGGAAAATCATGAAGAAAAAGATTTGCTCCGAACTACTACTACAGAGACTTGTACTAGAAGTTGCAGACCTTATCTCAAGGAAGTTGTAGTGTCGAGAACTACTACAAGGAAATGGAGGTGACTATGCTGAGAGCAGATGTCCAAGAGGACTGTAAGGCTACCATGGCTCAGTTTCTCAATGGACTACGATCAAATATAGTTGTGAGGCTCAAGTTGCAGACCTATGTAGAGATTGGCGAGATGGTAGACAAGACTATGAAAATCGAGTAAAGACTCAAGAGGAGAGGTCAGCCACAGAGATTGAGTTACACATACTCGACCCCACCTCTTAGGTCGAGCCAACCACGAAGAGAGTTTTCAGATTCCAAGCAAGCAGTTAAGTCTTTTACTCCAAGGCCTAAGTTGAAACCACTTAAGGGAAACATCAAAGCATTCCCTAGAGTATCATCGGAGCCTCAAAAGGAAGGAATCGAAACACTAGGTGCTTCAAGTGTCAGGAACGGAGGGAGCACATAGTTAGTCAATGTCCTAACCAATGGGCAATGATTATGCTTCCAAGCTGCGAAATTGCATCAGATAACGAAACTGAGTACGAGGGTATGCCACCACTGATGGATGAGAAAGAAAAATCGGAGAAGAGTGCACCATCGATGAGCAAGTCAGGTTAGAACTTGTTGTCTGGAGGGAGTTTGACCACCCAGTTCAAGGAAGACGAGGCACGGCACAAGAATATTTTCTATACATGATGTCTAATCAACGATAAGTGTGTAGATTGATAATTGATGGAGAGAGTTGTACCAACTTGGCGAGCGCATTGATGGTCAAGAAGTTGGAGTTAGCTACCCAGGATCACTTGTGACCCTACAAGCTATAGTGGCTCAACAACAGTGATGAGATTTGTGTCTCCAAACAAGTACTTATTTCTTTTAAAATTGGTAGATACGTGAACAAGATCTTATGTGATGTAGTACCTATGCATGTTAGTCATATTATACTTAATAGACTCTAGTAATATGATAGAAAAATTCCTTTTGATGGGTTTAGTAACAAGTACACCTTCACACACAGGCATAGAAAAGTTACATTAGTTCCTCTTACACCTAAATGAGTACATAACAACCAGTTTAACTTATAGAAAGAGTTTGTAAAGGAAAGTGAAAGAAGAAAATACGTAACTAAGGCTGAAGTTAATAAGTCTAGACTTTCTAAGGAAGAATCGGCCAAGACAGGAAAATTAGGGAAGAAATCGAGCTTTCTTGTAAAATCAAAAGTAGTAAAAAGAGCTTTAAATGCAAAACAGTGTTTACTCATACTTTATAATAAAGAGATATTATTGATTACAAATGAGTTAGATCTAGCTTTGCCAGGGGAGGTAGTATCTCGTTTGCAAGAGTTCGAGGATATATTTTCTTATAAGATATTAAGTGGATTGCCACCTATCTGAGAACTCGAGCACTAGATCAATTTCAACCCTGAAGCAGCCATTCCCAATAGACCAGCTTACAAGAGCAACCCTGAGAAGACCAAACAGCTACAGTGCCAAATCGATGAGTTGCTGACCAAAGGTTGGGTAAGGGAGAGTTTGAACCCGTATGCAGTACCAGCAATTCTAGTGCCAAAGAAAGACAAGTCATGGAGAATGTGCACCAACTGTCGAGTAGTTAACGCCATAATAGTAAAATATCATCACTCTATCCTTAGATTAGATGATATAGTGGATGAACTGTATGGTGCAATTATTTTTATTAAAATAGACTTGAAAAGAGGATACCATCAAATTAAGATAAAAGAAAGAGATGAATGAAAAATCGCATTTAAGACTAAGTATGGGCTATATGAGTAATTAATTATGCTTTTTGTATTAACTAATGCACCTAATACATTTATGCGTTTGATGAATCACATACTTAGGCCATTCTTGGAAAAATTCATCGTAATCTATTTTGATGATATACTTGAATACAGTCGTAGCCTAAAGAAGCACTTAGTGCGTTTGAGATCTATTTTTAACATAATTCACCGAGAGCAGTTATATGTTAATCTCAAAAAGTGCACCTTTTGCATTAATAGATTTGTATTTCTGGATTTTGTAGTTAGTACATAGAGTATACAAGTAGATAAAAACAAGATTCAGATCATATCAGATTGGCCCGACACCCACGTCCATGAGTGAAGTTCAAAACTTCCATGGACTTACGAGGTTCTACAAGCTATTCGTGAAGGATTTTAGCACTATTGCCGCCCCATTGACTGCAGTTGTTAAGAAGAATGAGAGATTTGTTTGGAAAGAAGCTTAAGATTAGGCGTTACGTACCATTAAGCATAAACTCACACACGTACCTATTTTAATTTTACCTGATTTCAATAAGACTTTTGAAATTGAGTGTGATGCTTCAGATATTGGAGTTCGTGCTGTATTGATATAAGCAGGGAAACCAATCGCCTACTTTAGTGAGAAGTTTGACATAGTAGCACTGAACTATTCAATATACGATAACGAGTTGTACACCCTGATTTGAGCATTAGAGACGTGACAGCATTACTTGCAAGCCAAGGAGTTCATGCTTCATAAGAATCATGAATCATTGCAGTATCTGAAGGTGTAATACAAGTTGAGTAAGAAGCATGTTCGTTGGATCGTTTTGATTGAGTCATTCCCATATGTCATCAAACATGAGTCTAGTAAGACCAATATTATTGTCGATGCACTATCGCGCAGGTACACCTTAATAACCACTTTAGATGCCAAGATCTTAGGGTTTGAATTTATTAAGGACTTGTATCAAAATGACACTGATTTTGGAGAGATTTTTGAGTCTTGTAAAACACCTCAAAAGAGTAAGTTCTTCATTTTTGATGAATTTCTCTACTATATCGATAAACTGTGTATTCTAGTTTGTTCGATTTGTGAATTGATAATGTAAGAATCGAAAACAATCTAAGAGGGGGTAAATTAGGTAGTATAAAAACTGGCCAAGTTGTGAGTCACTTTTTGAATACTTGCCCTCTTTTTCTAAAATACCATATAATGGAGCAATTGATGAGCAAGCACAAGTGCTTGTGAGTAGAATAGATGAGCAATTTATATATCAAGACAGTAAGTAAAAGAGATAGAATATCAAACCAAATGCTAAACTCCTCTTGAGTTTGAATATCACTTTATAAAGCAAACTTTTTTAAGTTGATCAACTTACAACCAATCTCTTGTGTACAAGAGAAGGATCACTTCCTCCTTACTCCAAGCCACACTTGGTCAAGTAAGAAAATTTACTATCACTCGGATAACCTCACAAAGTTACACTATTGAAGTAATTGAATCACACTAGAAAAGTTTATCGAAAATTACACAACTAAGAGTACAAATCCTCTTTGAAGAGTATTTTACCACTAAAATTACTCTTGATCTGATGTAATCTCAATGTGCAAAGTATTTTTGAAGTGGTTGACTTTGTTTTATTTATATGGGACAAAAAGGTTTCTCAATTAATGTTTTCAATGGATAGAAAGCAACTGAAAAATCAACTAACCGTTGGTAGTGTCGGACGTCCGGTAGACCAAGTTCTTTCGTCCGAATGTAGGCAGTGAGCTCAAGAAATTTTTTTGAATTATTTCAGACGTCCGGTACCTTCAATCTATGCATCCGAAAGTAGGAGGTGAAACTGAGAATTTTTCTTTAATTCTTTTCGGACGTTCAGTGCCTTCAAGGTTTTGCGTTCGAAATGTCACAACGCTTGTTGGACGTTCGGTGCTCTGATGATATGCTTCCGATCGAGGTCAGTGAGTTTAGAGGAAATGACTCAATATCTTCGGACGTCCGAGGGTGAAGTTTTTCATGCATCCGAAGTTGCGCAAAGGTTATCGGACGTCCAATCCAGTCTTCTTGTGCCCCCGACAGCAGTTTCAGCATTCTTTGTGCTTAATTTTTGAACCTGTTTTGTTCCATTTTTTAAAGGGTCTATTGAGAGAGCATTAGTAACATTCATTTATTTTGTAATCATCAAAACCTACGAATTGAGATAAACAATCTCCCCTTTTTGATGATGACAAAATAATGGATTGAGAAAAATAATTGGACAAAGCAATGGACAAAACAACTGCCCCTTACTTGATGCATCCAAAGAGTGGATAAAAAATGTCCTCTCACAAATCTCACATATAGATTACTGGACACTCCCCCTAAGTGGACACTCCCCTTAGAGTGACTCTCTCTCACATATAGATTACATATCAATTTCTCTCCTTTTTGTCATCATGGAATCCAGTATTTGATACTCATCAATAATATTCCCAGCAGTATGAAAAGCCAAAACTATCAACAATTATCAGTAAAACCAGAAGCCAAAACACAACAGAGGAAACAGCAATCATTCATCCAGTCAATATCAGAACTAGAGGTCAGACTGAATATTCATCCAAAAAATAGGAATAATCCACAAAAATAGCATTCATTCGAAACATAAAAGATAACCAAATAGTTTTACAGACCAGCAGAGAAAGGGAAATAAAATCCTAAGTGCAGAACACACGAAATGTTAAAAATGCAAAAGATACCAAAAGTCTATTATGAACTACCATCCTAATCATGAAATGTATTTGCCTAGAAGTGCCTAAATGGTGATCTTAGAGGATCCAGGCCTTCTTCTTGCTAGGCGAAACTGAGCAGGATCTTCTTCTTCAGTGTCCTCATCATCATCATCATCATCATCATCATCCTCTTTAATTTCCTCTTCAGTTGTTGGAGTTTTCCCTTGTCCTGTGGTTGAGAACTGGAGGCATGGTACTCTGGGATAGTTTCAGTAGTTGGCCCAGTTCTAGACTCCTTTCGGTGTGCATTTTCATTTTCTTGAGGAATGGGAGGCACAAGCAGATTCCTTTTGGCAATGAAGGTGGCTTGTTGTTCAGATGACATGGTCATCATCAGACCATCTTCAAGGAGTAGGATGTGTTGTTTGAATTCTTCAAGTAGAGAGATGACTTCAAAGTTGGATGAAGAAAACTTAGTGGCTGACTTTCTAGGATGGATAGTGAAGGGCGACACATACATGGACTGATCTCGAGGAGTTGTAGGGATGACAGGAGTTTCATGAAAATTCTTTCTCCTAGACTCCGAAACAGTTTCCTTGTATCACCTATGACCTTCAAAAAATTTCATATTTTTCCTTTCAAAATAAACCTTGGAAAAAACAGTTGATGCACTTTCTTTTAGTGATTTTTCAGTGAAGGGAATTTCAAAGTGAGCAAAGATAGGAGTCAGAAATTTTTTATAGAAAAGTTTCCTACGGCTTTCGGTGCTGATTTTGAGCAAAAATTTGTACTCGACAAAGCCAAAATAAATTCTGATTTTTTCAAGAAAGCAGTAGAACAGATAAAGTTTCATTTTGTTGGCATCAGTTCTATGACCATCAGTAGGCACTAACAAATTCAAAATTATGAAAAAAATGATCAAGTTTTAAGGACTGAAATCATCCAATTTTGCCTCAACAAGAGTATTAAAATGAGTTTGAAAATAGGTCATCAAATTTGTAACATGAAAGTGATGGTATGCAGAAGGAAATTTTTTGTATGAAAAGAAGTTTGCAATTTTTTTCTTTAAAATCATCTTCAATTTTGGTGTCCAAAATAGTGTTGATAATGTCAGGATTCAACTCTATGTTAACAGAATTGACACGTGATATTAGAGCAGTATGTGATCTACTTTCCTAAAGTTGGCAAAGACTTGATGAAGCATGTCAGGATAGTATGTCTTTAGAATAGTCAGAAGATGGATCCATTTTTGGAATTCAAAAAAGTTGAGAACAGATTCAAGGTCAAACTTACGGAATTCGTAAGGGATGATGGTCTTCTGAGTGATGAAACCCTTCTGCGAGATCCATTCGAATCTCTTCCTGGCATCATCATCAATGAATTTCAGCAAGAGAGTAGGTTCCTCTGTAGCTTGACCCTCAGGTTGCTCATTGGCAGGACGCTTTCTCTTTCCACTGCATTGAGCAGTTGGCATAGCATTCTAGACACCAGACCTTGTCCTTGGTGACTTCTTGGTAGATGGTTCAGCAGTTTGCTGTTCCCCAACAGTTTTCTCTGTAGCCTGCTGTTCCCAGAAGGATCAGCAGTTTGCTTTTTCTTAGATTGAGCCATTCTCTTCCTTTTGGCGGTCCTTTTTCTATTCCTGAGTGATTTCGTGACTGATGCATTTGTATTGGTGGGCTGCTCCAGTTCCTCTTCACTGCCACTGACTGGATACTTTTCAATTTGATGCTCCTCCATCTATTCAACAGATGGTTCAACAGATGGTTCTCTAGTTCGAGCATTCTGTTTCTTCTTTCTAGATCCCTATTTGGGTGATTTGGTGGAAGGTTCGACAAGCTGAACGTCTTCATCCTCTTCATCTCTAAGCTTGAAGGTGCGTCCGGCACTCACAGACGTGAGAACTCGCAAATTCCTTGTATTTTTCCTCAAAATACCCTTTATTTGAAAATTAGTATTTACCAAAGGCCACTACCCAAATATTTCACATTAAGTGTAGATAAACCTAGAAAATAGGGTTTTACGCTTCGGTTTCAAGTTTGGAGCAAAATTAGGGTTTTCGCGATTTTTCGCCGGATGAATTTTCGGTACAGAGTAAGGATTAAATTTGAGGATTAAAAGTGACTTTTAAGTGAGAAATAATATGTGATTGGTAGCAATGATATAAGGTTAGTGAATGGGAAGTAAAAACCCTAGTATGTGAGTTTTTAAGAAAAACGGCGCGAACGGCGGGTCCCGCGCACTACCGTTTGAACGCACCACTTGACCACCATTTTTGCTTACCAAACAAATTTATTGAACTTGAGCAAAATATCTTCTCTCTTGGCAGCAAGCTTGACCGAAATTTGTGGCTCATAAGCAAGGGAAAGAAAGAGAAAAATTAGTGGCCAAGATTAGGCCAAGTGTTGGACAATTTGTGGACACCATTAGTTCTAATCCTTTTGGCTTTAATATAAGACAACTTAGCTTCATACCTCTTCATATTTCTGCCAAGGGAGCTGAGAGAGAGAGAGAGAAGAACAAGAGTGAACTTCTTCATTTCTTCTTGATTCAAGCTACAAAGTGAGAAATCAAAAGAACTAAACCGATTAAACTTCTCCTTGAGTGATTAGCTAGTGTTTGGTGGTGAAATTTTGGAAAAGAAAGGCTTGGGCTACACTTGGAGAACTCATATTAAGGTAAGGAAGATGATATCTCTCTAAATTTTTCTTTCAATCTTGGTTAAATTAAGTCTAGTAACTTGAGTAGTAGTGGAATCATGGATGCTAGCATGTTTGGAAGTTTTTCCCCTCTTTATATGATGAACTAGGGTTTGGAAATTCTGCCCAACTTGTTGTATGATGCTTGTATGTTACAATTAATGTTGTATAAGATGTTTTGGTAGTGTGAGAAGTGAGAAATTGGGGAAAGTTGCACTAGAAACTACAAATTTCAGATTTCTGGAAATTCTAGCTTCCATTCTGTCCGGTTTGGTAACTGCATGTTAGAGGCCGAATTGGCCTTGGGTCAAAGAAGGAAAGTTGTATAGAATGGTATTTTGTAGGTGCCTGTAAAATTTCAGCTCAATCGGAGCAACGTAGGTCATGAAAAGTCCGAAATACCCTTACTGTTTTAAGTATTTCCCAAGCAGTCCGTGTGATCAGTTAAGTCCAGTTTATCACGTTTTTCGACTAGGATCCATTCTGATTTAGCTTTTTGCCAAAACATGAAAGTTGTAGTATTCTGAATTAGCTTTCAAATGCCTCTAAGAACACCTGATTCGGACTTGTGTACTCTGAGTTATGTCCATTACAGTGTTCTGCGTTTAAACAGCCGACGAATTGGTTTCTGGTTTAGTAATTCGAGAATTTGACTAAGTTACATTAGAAACTGGACTAAGTGACCTTCATGAACATTGTAACCCTGAGTCTTAGCTTCGAAACGGCATAGGTTACGTCTTAATCCGATAAGCGTAGCCTCGGATACGTTATTTCCGCTTTCATACGTCAAATCTGTCTTTTGCTAAATTGAATTTCTGCACTTGTTATTACTGTATTTCTTATTCTTATGATATTGTGAGCCTATGGAACGGCTCTTGACTTGAATTGCTTATGTGTGATGTTGGGTTGTGGTTGAGGAAAAATAATGAAGCCAAAATGGCTGAAAATTAGGTAAACACAAAGGGCGTGCTGCCCAAATTTTCGCCCGAGGTCTAGGTTTCTATTTGAACTTGTATACTTTTGTTAGGCCAATACCATGACCGGTTTTCCATTTTAAAACATGATTTTTCATCCTTGGGTTCAAACAACCCTCTTCTTACTTGAAAGTCATCTTTACACGTTTTACTCTTAATTAGTCGGGTATCTTCGTTTCCCTTAAATGTTTTGCTCGATAAACTGTAATATGTTCTCTTGTTCAACCTTAGGTTTCATTGGTGACTAAGGGTAATATCCGGAAGGATTTTGCATGTTATTTTGCATATCTAGGTGAGTGTTCCTTATTTGACTTTATGGCTTGTTGTTATCATTTGCTAATGTGTTAATTGCTTTTAATGATTTCCAAAATGAGCTTTCTAGGCGAGTGTGTACTTTATCGCACTCGACCTAAATAACTGTGCAATTTTCAAGGATTTAATGATTGAAATGTTACTTGCGCATGAATGTAAGCCTTTTGGGCTGAACTGGCCATTGCCCCTTGTTACCGGTCGTCTCGAGCCAGAAGCGGACTCGGTCGGGCGATTAGGGACTTGGGTGAACGTTTGGTATACTCGAGTATTACCGTGTAGGTTGGTGGAGACTGGCCAACGGCCAGGACGGGGGTGAATGAATGAATGAACGAACGAACGAACGAACGAGGGTTTATTGATAAACGAAAAATGCATTTTCTAATGATTGGAGGAATAAGGGGAAATGTCAGGAGAACGAATGAACGAAATAACGAATTGCTCCTTGTGAGCCGTATCCTTTTAATGAATGTGTTACTATCGCTTTCCATTGTAAATGTTTCTTGAATTATTGATACTCCATGTTTAATGTATTGGATTGATTATCTGATTATGTGTTCGGAACCTCACTGGGCTTTTAGCTCATTCCTTTAGTTTTGTTTTCCTTACAGGGGAAGGCGAGCGAGGACGTGAGCTTGAGATAGACTAGCCAATCTAGTTTTGTTTCTTTTGTTTCTTTTGTAGCGGTTCTCGCCTAGTGCTTGGCACGGGCTGGACGTATGAAGGATTGAGAACCCTTGTATATTTGATGTTTATATTCTCTTTTGGGTTGGCAATGTATATAAGTTCCGCTTTAAGTTTAGATCAATGCCCTATTTATTCTAGTGATTTATTTCAATTTTTAATTGAGAACTGTAGCGAACGACTGAGTCCCGGCGAGAGTGGGCAGGCGGCCCGCCGAACCCTCTGGTACGCCTTAGGGGGAGGTGGGGTCGTTACACAGACCCTCCTCTAATCCTCACCATGATTGCAATTTAGTGTATTGTTTGTTGTGGAGTGTAATGCAAATAAGTATCAAAAGATGGAAAGTGCAGTATAAACTACAATGGATGCTTGAACTGTCCACTGAGAGTGAATTTGAGTGGTTAGGGTTTCGAGTGAGAATTGGGATTTATAGTGCAATTGGTAGTTGGGAGAAATTATGATGAGCAATAAACGCGCAATAGGAATGTAACGGTGTTGGTCAGAGGAATTTCTTGGAACTTGTTCCGAAGAGAGATGAATTTGAATTTTGAAAATAAGAGAATATAAAGAGTTGCGTCAGAGACAAAGTAAAAATGAACTGAACGAAGCAGAGGACTTCCTTATAAGACGCAATTTTTGAATGTCGGACGGTCGAACGAAATAAAGCATCCGACATAACCATCCGAACCAGAATTTTCTAGAAAAAATGATTAAGAATACTGTCGGACGTCCGTTCTAACACATTGGACGTCCGATAAAGAGTGATCAGAGAATTTTTTAGAGTAATTTTTCTAAAACACCCAATTTTATTCTCAAAAACACAAATTGATCCAGTGGTAAGGATTTTGTGAGAATATCAGTAATTTGATCTTTTGAACAAACATATTGAACACAAATTTCACCCTTATGGACAAGATCGCGAATGAAATGATGCTTTATGCCTATGTGCTTCGTCCTAGAATGTTGGATGGGATTTTTTGTCAAATTTATGGCACTAGTTTATCACAATACATAGGCACACAATCATACATCAATCCAAAATCATTCAATGTGTTTTTCATCCACAATAATTAAGAATAAGAAGCACCGGCGGCAACATATTCCACTTCGGCTATAGACAAGGAAATAGCATCTTGCTTCTTACTAAACCAAGATACTAAGCAGTTTCCAAGAAAGCTACATATACCCGTTGTACTTTTTCTATCTATTCTACAACCACCAAAATCAGTATCCGAGAATTCACATAAAGGAAATTCCTGACACTTAGGATACCATAAGCCAAAATTCAAAGTTCCTTTTAGGTATCTAAGAATTTTTTTTACCGCATTCAAGTGAGATTCCTTTGGACAGGACTGAAAACGAGCACACAAGCACATAGCAAACATGATATCAAGTCTACTAGCAGTTAAGTAAAGCAGGTTACCAATCATACCTCTATATTTCTTTTCATCAACCTTTGTACCTTTTTATCCTTGTCAAGCTTGGTAGATGTGCACATAAGTGTTCCAACTTGCTTTGAGTTTTCCAATCCAAATCTTTTGAGCAGCTCCTTGTGTATTTGACTTGATTAATAAATGTTCCTTCTCGAGTTTGAACTACTTGGAGCTCAAGGAAGAAATTTAACTCTCCCATCATACTTATTTCAAACTCTTTTTGCATAATTGTGGAAAAATCCTTGCACTAACTCTCATTAGTAGCACCACATATAATATCATCCATATATATTTGCACAATTAAAAAATCACGTAAACTTTACTTAGTGAAAAGAGTACTATTTACAATACCTCTTTTAAAACCATTTTCAATTAAAAAATCACTTAAACGTTCATACCATGCCCTTGGAGCTTGTTTTAATCCATACAAACCTTTTGAGAGTTTAAACACATGATTTGGATAAAATCTCATTTTCAAAAACCAGGAGGTTAATCAACATATATTTCTTGATCAACAAAACCATTTAAGAAAGCATTTTTAACATTCATTTAAAATAGTTTAAAATTCTTGAAATATTCAAAGGTCAAAAACATTCTAATAGATTCAAACCTAGTCATGGGTGCAAATGTTTCATCAAAAT